TCAGTTGCAGTTTGTCCCCGGCCCTGGTTGGGTCATGCAGGAGGCAGCCACTCGATGTGTCCCTTTTACATCGATGTTTCTCTCTCTCTCTCTTCCTCTCTATCCCTCCCACTCTACCCGAACAAAAAAAATGGAAAAATGTCCTCGGGTGAGGATAAAAAATAAAACAAATAAACAAAAAGAATGCTTTTTAGTTTTCAATGCGCAGGCTCTTGACAGCAATGAAGCCCTCCTGCTGAAACAGAATCCCTATGAGAAGATGCAGGTTCACTCTTTTCATTCATTTAACATTTATTGACTCTTGGTCACATGCCATGCCAGGGACTAGAGAGCAAACAGACACAGTCTTGCCCTAATGGAATCAATAGGCTAGCAGAGAAGAAAGATAGATGAATAATAACAGAAATAATTATGTATTTGTAGTTCATGGAAATACTCTTAGAGGAAGGGAAGTTTGCTGGGAGAGCATATAACAGACAAATCTAATACATTCAAGGCTAGGGAAGGCTTCCCTGAGCAAATGATATTTGATACAGTATTTCTAATTACAGCATGCATTTGTTATAAAATTATACTCAGATCATTTTAAACACGAGGACCTAATGAACTTTTCAGAGGTCCCCAAAAAGCCTTGAGGCCTGTTAAAAAATATGTTGGCTCTAAAATATGAAAACTGCAAAACTCAAATAGATACCTATAAAATATATACCATTTCTTTTCATATTCATAAAAATGTTGTTGCTAAAAATAATTTGTAAATTAGCCCTGGATGGTTTGGCTCAGAATTTAGAGCGTTGGCCCTCGGACTGAAGGGTCGCAGTTCAATTCCCTGCCAAGGGCAGGTACCTGGGTTGCAGGTTTGATACCCAGCCCCAGTCAGGGTTGTGCGACAGGCAACCAATCGATGTCTCTCTCTCACATTGATGTTTCTCTCTCTCCACCTCCTTCCCTCCCTTCCACTTCATCTAAAAAAAATCAACGAAAAAATATCCTAGGGAGAGGATTAACAACAACAAAAATAATAATAATTTGTAAATTAGCTTTTCCCAAAGGAATTCCAGAGAATAAGACTGATGGGAAACAACTGTCAATTGTAAACAAAGTAAACAAGAGACCCAGCTCTTTAAAATCAATTGCAAAAAGCTGTTCAAATTTATGTTTTAAGTATCAAAATTATATTTAATGTGAAATGGGGCTACATTTTAATATATTTAATCTTGTATGGGTGGATCTGGTGCCTACAAAGACCTTAAAATTGTCTGATTTTAAGGTCTTGGGACAATCAGAGCCAAGGATCGAGACTGTGCAGAGCAGCAGATGGCTGTCAGGGCCTGAGATTAGGGAGTACTGACAAGAGGGGTCCTTATGAGTAGGTGCAGGGTGTCATGGGCATTGGAAGAGAGTAGGCAATAGGGAATTCACAAGATAAGAAATTCTTCTCCTGTAGGTCCAGAGAACATTCACATCAAATCTATTCCTGTCTGTGGCCCCCCCACCTGGCCTCCCTTCTGCCACCACCACATTTCCAGGCCACCACGTTGGCCCCTTTTCACACTCCATTCCATTTCTGAGAAACAGTGTTTATATCTGAGTGAGTATGCAATGAGCTCTAAGGTTCGGTGAGCCCTAGAATCTTGCAAATGAGAGGAAGTCTGAGGAGTGGCAGAGGATATGACGCAGTGGATATGGAGAACCTTGATGGCCAGAAAGACACACTTGAGAGGCCCCTCCTTCTGACACTTCACGAAGTCTCAGAAAGGCGACACCAATCAATAGGGTCACATTCCACTTGTTATTACCCTGTTAAATCTGAGCTTTTCACTCTCTACTGATGGAGTCTTCCCAGTAATTGCACTATATCTGGGTGCTGGTATTTAATTAAAATAAGGACTTAGTCTCTACCCTTGCTGTAAAAGTTTGCATCTTATTCAGAAATAGTGAACCCCATTCATTTCACCCTAATCCTCTCACCAACAACTAAAAAGCTCATTTTGTATTCATCGTACTACATTTCCCCTGCTACAAGCAATGCTTGAAAAGTCATTTTTCCTAATTCCCCCAAATCATTACCAGTTATTTTAAATCTTGTTGTATTAATATGTTGAATGATGTTCAGGTGGTCAAAGTAACTGTATATAAATACAGCACCAAAGAAAAATCTTCATTGATTGCTAAATTAACTGGTTGTAAATGCAGGCTTAGAAAAAATGTATTAATGTGAATAAGCAAAGAGGATGTTTTAATAGAGTTTGCTGCCAAGACTTATAGCCTCTTTATCTCTAACTAGACATAAGATATTTTTTAACTTAATAGAATTTAAAATATATAAATTGTAAAATATTCCAAATTTACTTAGGGAGAAATTAAAAATCTACAAAAATGTGCTTTCCCAAAATTTATTTCTCTCCTTTTAAGGTCACAGATATCACATTTTCTTTATTCTCACTTCTAGCTTCTGGAAAGCTATTCTATTTACATAGCTGCAATCTCAAGTTTATTTTCTAATTTAATTCCAAGATCAGAAATACAGTCCTTAAAATGCTTCATTGACTTAACTAGACAAGATGCAAATGACTGTCAGGAGAAAAACTTCTTTTAAGAGAAATTATCCATAAAGTATAATGTCATCTGCATTAATAGCTACAAATTTTCAATTTATTCACTCAACTGGATCTAGACTGTCATAAACTGAATTTCATATTTTAGATCACTTGATGCATAAATAGAGAGGGCGAGGGCCAAGTGACAACTGCAATGTGCAATTCTGACTCAAAGAAGCACATGTGGGTCCAACTTGAAAAATTGGCTAGGTTAGTATTGGGTTGTATAGAAAGCCCTGGGGAAGAATGGGTGCATTGTGAAGCTTTTGGCATATTTGTGAATGAGCTAATGCAAGCTAAAGGCAAATGGGATTTTAGCCAGTTAATGACTGGCCTATTTTAAAATTTAGAATTATAAGCAGGACAAGGGACTGTTTATAATCAGCCAAAATGTGATTAAAATATGCCTGGAAATAAATCATGGGTTTTGGAAGTTCCCGAACATCCCTACTATTTAGTGCACTACACACTAATATACCAAATGCTCTATTAAATGAATAGATTTCACACGACTCCTAAACTCAACCTACTCCCAGAGACTCGGGTGACTGCATTGTTAAATTCTGGCCCCCAAAAAGCACTTTTGGGCTTAGAAAATCCTAACATGCAAGTTAACTTGGGAGTTTTAAGAATGGAGATCACCTGATGGTGCATGCATCATCTACTGAGAGGTCACATGGGAGGGAATGTTGGTTTCCTAGGCCCCAGAGGATGAACTTTCCTTTCTTCCCTCTTCTACATTAACTTCCACATCATTCAGCAGGTTGAGCCCAGTTCTGCACTATCTATCTGTGGGAATTCTGGACAATCATGTAATCTCTGTGGCATTGGTTTGTTGTTTTGTTTTTAAAGCTGTAAAACAAGAGGAAAGGAAAGAGACTTGACTCAATGAACCCTAAGATTCCTTTTCTAGTTTCCGAATATATTTTTCTTATCCTTTCCTTGGGATTTGCTAAATACCAGCACAATGGAGCCCTTTTAGTTGTGCTAAGAGATTGCCAATTCTTTATATTCAGTCCCCCAAATAAACCAAACCCAAGTGATTCAAGAATGGTGATAAAGGCTGGATTTAATATCTATACTGCCACCAAACAGATAAATATGCTTCAGTCTAGAATATGCTAAACATGGCTGAAAAAACCTGATGGCAAAAAATTACTTTCCCTACTCAGTGCCCTAAAGATTCCAGACCAGCCTGGACATACTCATTTAATAGGACATATTCATTTCTTCAGAAAAGAGAAACTAAATAGCACCTTCTACCCATACCTGTCTGAGGATGCACTTGGACATTCTGCAATGGCAGCATTCTCACTTTGTAAGGAACCAAAACATTACTGACCTACTAGAATTTACCTGATTTCCTTCATCAAATCAAACAAAAGGTTATCTCCAGTGCCACAGTTCAAGGACCTCACAAATAGCAAGTCTCACAAAACAAGGCTTTTGAATTCCATTAAATGGTGGGATGCAACAAGTCTCAAGTAGGCTCCCACATTTTAAAAACAGAAGATAACGCTGGCAACAAAGCTGGTTAGAAGCAGAAGGTCAGCTGCGAGTTCCCTTGTTCCTTTGACTCCGTCAATCTATTTTATCTCTGAAGGAAACGGGAAATATGACAGAACCCTATGGTTTCTATTTGATTCACTCTTTTAGAACAAGGTAAAAAGTGGTTTTTAAAAATAGACTAACATTTTCTTTTAGATACAGATACTAAGGAAAACCAAAATATTAAAATCAGCAAATGTAAATGTAAAAAATTCTTTTACATAAAGAATCATATTTTGTGAGAATGTTCCTTTGACATTGTCACAAAAAGGCAGAAAAACCTATAATCTGCAACAAACAAGTTTTTAAGTAAAAAGTTCTAATTGTCATTCAAGATAAAAATGGCTCTCATGAAGTCCACCCAAAATACAAGTGGTAAATCCACTGTTTATGAAATTATAAACTGCTTTTACCAAGGTTTATAGCAACAATCAGATCAGGATAAAGTGCTGATTTCATTTTTAAAAAATGTTGATGCTATACTTTGAATGTTGATGCTATAATTAATCCCAAAATCCATATCAGACATTTAATTGACATACTATCTTCATGGGTGTAAGTTTGGGGTGACAACTGTATTTCTTTTGGAAATTTAGGTAATTATGAAAATTTAGTTTTTACTTAATTACATTATGTTCCCAGCTCATATAAAAGAGCCTATAAAACATGCATCCTAAATGCTAAGAGTGAGGCTCCTAGTTAAATCTTTTAGATAAGTAATATAACCCCCTCTAGTATAGCAGTTTTCAACCTTTTTCATCTCATGGCACACGCAAACTAATTATTAAAATTCTGTGGCACACCAGAAAATATATTTTTGCCACTCTGACCAAAAAAAAAAAGGTATAATTTTTATTCATTCACACCAGACGGCTATTGTTGTATTTGATGGTTGTCATTTTTTATTTGACAATCTAAGGGAGAAGTGGTCAGTGCCACTGACTTAATAGTCAGTTATTACATTCTAAAAATTCTGCAGCACACCAGTTGAAAATTGCTGCTCTTAAAAGATTAACTTGATATTACCTGGTTTGTAGTATACTCTACAGATAATGCATATTTTTTCAGAAAACGAATTTGATGTTTTGACCATCTCAAATAAGCTGCTAAATGTCTTGTACCAATACATTTGTAGTGTCTGTAGTTAACAATAAGCTGCATTTAAGAAATGAAAATCAACTACTTTTACTAAAAAAATTACATAGCATAGAAGAACTACACAAAGAAACCTTTAGCACATCCAAGAAGTATGCGAAAACAAAGAATATAAAATGTAGAATTTAACAGTGCAAATAAAATCATAGAAAGCTTTCAGGCAAAAAGGTGTCATCCTATAGTGAGAAGAGCAAAGTATACTGGGTACAAATAATTAGTTCTGTTACAATAATTCGGCAATAGTCAGTAAATGTGTTTAAATCATAACACAGTCTTTGCTAACAACGCAATGATGAATTTGTAATGTTATTCTGGTAATAAAAAGTGTTAACTTGAGAATTTAATTGAGAAATTGTTCTAAAAATGTAATCTCAAGTCAGAGAAAAGGAAATGTACACACACAAAAGAACTATGATACTTACGGGAACATAAATTATTAAGTTAGCTTACCTTCCCAAGTATAATAGAAGAAAAAGAGTGAAATGACTATATGGTCAAAATAATTTTATGGAAAGAAAAATTTAACTTTTGGATCTATATGGGATAATTCAAACAAAAAGTGGAGCTTAACTTCCTCATTACACAGAACTGTGAGTTTTCTATTCCCCTTGTTTTAGAACATTTACTTTATAAATCAATGGTTTGCCAGGGTGATTAATTTTTTCAATACCACTTAAGTACATACATGTATATTTCCAAAAGTCTGTAAACAGTATTAAGGAAAAACAGTAACTGTTTCATTTAGGTCTGCCTAGTATAGTGAGTCAACTTCACATGCAATGAGTATAAAGGAGATGTCAACGTGAATACAAAAGCAAGACTACAAACTGATGTTTCCTTTTCTGTGTATTTTTATGATCAATTCCAAACACAGCAAAGATGAAATGAGTAATAAAAAAAAATTAAAAAATTAAAAAAACATATTTTATTTCCCCATTAACACTAAGCCACATTATTCAAAATGTGTTTCAAAATACTTAGCCAGATTGCCAAGCCCAACAACTGCAACAGAAATCCACCGAGACACCATCTAGAGAGAACAGCAACATTGCTCTATATAATTTATTAACTTAGTAATTTAGTCTCTCAATATTTAGCAAGTTTATGTAAAAATTAATATTCCCATTGGTTTATAGTGACATTAATATAAATGTATAATTTCAAAGTCAACATTCTTTTCACTATGATCATAAAACTTCTTAAAGGATAGTTGTGGGATGGGGTAAAGTAATGACTGGCTGCTAGGATAGCACTGTTCCAAAATCAAATATACTGGCAGGCTGGGAAAGGCATAAGTATATATACACACTCTCAATATGCTACTATTTCCCACATTTTTGCTGTATGTACTTGTCTCATTATGTGATATAATATTTCCTCAAATTTTAAAAACAAATTAAGATGAGAATACATTTTCATCTTAATTTCAAAATAACCATTTTATGTCTTTTTTAAATAACCATTTTAAATGAAAAAGTTCCCATGTTTGTCAACTCTGTTGAAGAGATGGATTTATATATTTTCTGCATGTACAATTTTTAGCCTATGTTAGTGCCTCATTACAACCAGTTTAGCAATCACAACTCCAGTGCCTTATTTAAAACTGCATTCAGTAAATTATAAGACTATAAAATCTGCAATTGAATCCTTGTTAAGACACTGAATTATAACAAAGCCCAAAACATGTATGATCATTTATCAACACCCTTGGAATCTGTAAATTACTGCAAAAAAATATATAACATGTGCATATAATTCAAACATAAACATTGTAGGGAGGGGTCATAAAATAAATACTACAATATTTTTTAACTCGATTTAAATGCTGCCTTGATGGTTGGATAAAAAGATTACTATTACTAACAGAGAGAGTTAAACTATTTAAAAACCTGTTTTCCAAGTAGTTAGAACAATTTTGCAAAACAAAGATGCGCAAGAGCCTATGCCAATACATTTTTCCTGTAGTGTAATTGCTAATATGAGGTATAATCTGTAAGCAATCAATACAGTATATATAAATAGGTATAAGCCACCACTAAATCACAGTCTAGTGACAAGCTTCTCAGCTAATGCAGTTTGGGGAGGGAGTGAAGGAAAATGAGGAAAAGGGAAGGACAGGGTAGGTTTCCAGTGGGAACATCATTTACGCACCTTATTATTATCACCATCTTGTATGTAACAGTCCACTGTTGCAAAAAATAAATCCTTTCCAAGTATGTGGGTCTAGAATTTACTTTTTGTAGTATTAAGATTATTTCAGTATTACTAATGCTTCAACTGATTTATATTTGGATATACACACAACCATATATGTATATCAAAAACTATTAACAGAATTTTAAATCACTTTTATCTCATTTTTTAAAAGTTAACAGTTAAGACTAAACTATGTACTACAGAATTTTCTACACTATCTAAACTCAGGGAGAAAACCAAAGAAAAACATTACTATTTCTTTAGTAAATGGCTTGTGCGAAACCTCAAGCTCACTCATCTTTTTATAGATGGTTTATTTGATGAGGATTGTGATCCAATGATTGTTTAGCAGCAATTTTACCAAACTGTAAATTCTTTTATTAACAGGCATTATAAACAGATAATACTAATCTTATTTAAAAACCAAGAGTGCCACACTGGTGAATATACAACTCATGAATAACTTAAAAAGTATTTCCCATTTTAAAAGGCAACACTCAGCATACAAAAACCTATACTAAACAAAAAAGCTAAAATATGGATACATGATTGATGTGTCTAAAATGATATATATACAGTACATAATTAATGTTAATTATGTGATCAGTACATTTTTTCTATGTGATTCCCTTCATGCTTCACTTTCCCCAGAAACTGAATTCTGAACTTCCTCTTCTAAAATTGGTACAATCAGGTTATCCTTGGACATCAAATTATATTTCATCACAAATTTAGTAAACCGATGACACAAAAATGTTTCATTCTGTAAAGAAGAAAAAAATGTTATTTTAATTTACTACCCCAAACCAAAAAAACTAGACATAATCTCAGCATATATTATTGTCATTCTGATAAGAATGCATCAGGTTAATTAGTAAAATATACTTACTTCATATTCATCAAATATCTGTCGATGATGAAAATAAGCATGTGAAAATATTCTGTAAATCCTACGGCATACTGATCCTAGTTTTGCTACAGATGATTCCTTTATGCTAACCCTAAAAACAGAAATCATAGATTCATAGAGCTGGACAGATCTTAGAAACAATATATTTCAACCTCCTCAATTCACAGGTGTGCAAACAGAAACCTAGGGAAAATAAGTTCCCAGTCCAAGGTCAAAGTGCTAGTAAGTGGCAAGAGCAGGACTAGAACCCCTGTTCACTCCTGGGCCAGTGCTCTTTCTATGTAACCACAGTGCCTAAGAAATTCAGTATCATAGTCTTGAAATGTTATAGTTTTAAGGAAATGAAAACAAATCCCTGACAACTCAAAACTTACTAAAACATATACATAAGACATTAATACTTTGTTCTCTAGAGATGATTAAAACTACTAAAAGGAATTATTGTTTTATTCCATAGAACTTTATTCTTTGTTTTTGAGAAACAAAAATTGCCTGCACATTTCTGATATTCTTTTTTTAAAAATATAGGATACTGAGGCAAAACCCAGTATTTTTTACATAGTTTATATGAGCTCTCTGGAGTTAATATTTGGGGTGAAATAAAATTTCCAAATCGATCTACCTGGTAACAAATATCTTAATAGAATAAAAGATCAGTCACAAACCTCACCCATAACATTACAGTGTACACAGGCTTCTTCCCAGATATTATTTGATGAGGATTATGATAAACAAGGATAAGGAATCCTTCAAAAACAGGCAGTTAAACTAAGAAAAGTCTGCTCTCTAAGAAAAGGCATGCTGTCTAAGAAGAGGCTGACACTGTCACAGAGATTCAAGTAAGCAAGTATATAAATATCCCAACTCTAAAGCATCCAAGAAAGGGCTCTGAACAATGACACACAGCAGCAGGGACTACCCTTGATTGAACTGGCCTGAGAGGTTTGGGAGCTAAAACCTGCTATCTTTAGTTTAACCATAACCCTAATTTCAAAACTTGAATAAAAGAAAAAGTTTAAAGAATACAATGCATTAATCAATGGACACAGACAATAGTTTGGGGAAACCGGGAGGAGGGTAGAAGCGGGAAGAAGGGGGTAAATGGGGAGAAAAGTGGGGACATTTGTAATACTTTCCACAATAAAGATTTTAAAAAAACAAATATAATGCATTAACCAGGAACCTAGTTTTAAAAACAACAATCTTTCAATTAAATCCAAAAAGTTTAATACCATGTTTTAAAAGTTTTGTTTACCTGCTGGGAAAATATTTATTGCTATTCAGAAGACATGCAGCACCATCAAGTGTATGTCTAGTATAGTCTATAGCAGGACACTATAAAAGAAAGGACATAAAAATGCATCAACAAAGAGCTGTACCTCTTAGGTTACAATATCAGAATGACTATAAAATTCAATGTTACATCAATAAATAAGGGTTTACTGTCCCCATGAACTATATCAAACCTCTGGAAGATACATGAATCAGTCTCCTAATCTCTCATTCCCACCACTGTACCCAGAAGAAAACAATATTTAGAGCTGGAAAGAACGCCTGATTATCTAATCTAACCTGATTTACAAATAAAACTGAGGTTGGTCAGTTTGCAGAGTATGCACAGGCTTCTTCCAGGTCTTAAAATTATCTGTGGGCAAGAATAAGGAATCTTTCAAAACAAGCAGTCCAGCTTAGAAAAGATCACAGAGATTCAAATAAGCAAGCACGCAAATATCCCAACTCTAAAGCGTAAGAGGGAGAGCCCTGCTAGAATGACACACAGCAGCAAGGACTTCGTTGACTGATGGCCAATGACTTAGGCAAGATCATACAGTTAGGAAGGACTCAAAAACATGTTTATACTAGGAATATGCTGACTCCTGGTCCACTGATTTATACTTTACCAAGAGGCCCAGAAGCCTCCTTCTTTTCACAAATACCTTGAGGGATCACTGCCTTCTAACATCCTAAAAAGCATCCTCTAGTATGTGCTCGGCATCCTATAACCCTAACAGCTCCCTAAAGAATTTTCTCCTTGAACCTCGTTTGAAATTTAACATGAAATTTCTATCTTTACATTTTAATAAACCTGTATTATCCTATTCCATTTATCAGAAACAATGAAACCTATTGTCTCATGGCAAATCAGCAAACCTATTGAAGAAAAAATAAAATGGCAAAGTAATCTCCTCACACTCAGTTCTTTTGAGAGCAGACAGGGAAAAGGATCAGAGGAAATGAATAGTGAGAATAAACCAGGGATCTCCTTGAAGGAAAAAAAATGAACTAGTATTTAGAAATGTAAATGAATAACTGGTAAATATGGCTTATTACAGTGCCATGGCAAATACACAAAGATTATCTAAACAAACATTAGTATTTTTCTAACTATACATCCACAGGAATTTATGGTTAGCAGACTCTGCCTAAAACAGTACCATGAGTAGTATTTGTTGAAAAAGTTATCTTTCTCCATATATGTGATTACAGGTGATTTGGTCAAAAACAAATACCCCAATAATGAAGATCAGAGCAGAAATAAATGACATAGAGACTAAAAAAATAATACAGCCCAGGCCGGTTTGGCTCAGCGGATAGAGCATCAGCCTATGGTCCAGAGAGACCTAGGTTCAGTTTCCACTAGGGCACATACCTCGGCTGCAGTTTGTCCCTGGCCCTGGTTGGGGTCGTGGGAAGCAGCCACTCGATGTGCTCCTTTCAGGTCGATGTCTCTCTCTTTCTCTCCCTCCCACTCTATCTGAACAAAAAATGGAAAAGTGTCCTTGGTTGAGGATAAAAAATAAATAAATAAATAAAGTGAGGCTCTTCAGTAAATTTAAAAAATAATACAAACGATCAATGAAATGAAGAGCTGGTTCTTTAAAAAGATAAATAAGATTGATGAACCTTTAGCCAGACTCATCAAGAAAAAAAGAGAGAGGACCCAAATAAATAAAATCAGAAGTGAAAGAGGTGAAGTAACAACTGACACCACAGAAATACAATGGATTGTAAGAAAATACTATGAACTATATGCCAACAAACTGAATAACCTAGGTGAAATGGACAAATTCCTAGAAACATACAATCTTTCAAAACTCAACCAGGAAGATTCAGAAAACTTGAATAGACCAATAACAATTAATAAAATTGAAGCAGTAATTAATAAACTCCCAGGAAACAAAAGTCCTGGTCCAGATGGCTTCACAGGGAAGTTTTACCAAACATTCAAAGAACTAACAACACCAACTCTCCTCAAACTATTCCAAAAAATGCAAGAAGTAGTAAGACTTCCAAACTCTATTTACGAGGCCAGAATTATCCTAATTCCAAAACCAGATAAACACACTACAAAGAAAGAATTACAGGTCAATATTCTTGAGGAACATAGTTGCTAAAATCCTCAACAAAATATTAGCAAATAGGATCCAGCAATATATCAGAAAGATCATAAATCATGACCATTTGCAAATCAATAAATGTGATACATCACCCTGGCCAGTTTTGCTCAGTGGTTAAAGCACTGGCCCGCAGACCAAAGAGTCGCGGATTCAATTCTGGTCAAGGGCACGTGCCTCAGTTGCGGTTTGTCCCCAGCCCTGGTCAGGATTGTGCGGGAGGAAACCAGTTGATGTGCCTCTCTCACATCGATGTTTCTCTCTCTCTCTCCCTCTCACTCTATCTGAAGATAAATGGGAAAAAATTGTCCTCGGGTGAGGATTGAAAAATAATAATAATATAAAAATAAATGCGATCCATCTAATAAACAAATTAAAAGATAAAAATCACATGAGCATATCAATAGATGCAGAAAAAGCATTCGACAAAATCCAGCACCCATTTTCAATAAAAACTCTCAGCAAACTGGGATTAGAGGAATAATACCTCAACATAATAAAGGCTATAATTGACAAACCTACAGCCAACATCATACTCAATGGGCAAAAAGCATTACATCAGAAGATGACTATGAAAACAAAAACCTCAAAGAGTAGGGACCAAGAGGACACTGACTGAGGGAATCAAGCAGTGACATCAGAGCTGCACACAGGATCTCCGACAGTCTGGATAGTTCTTTTTGATTCAGAGAACCGCCCCCATACCCAACTATTTCCAGTCTGTGCTCTGTTCCCAGCTTCTCCAAAAGATCTACGCCGCTATTCTATCTAATAACTAGATTTCGGAGACTCTCTTGCTACCAGGCTCCAGAACAGGGCTTAGAAGGTGCATCTGTGCCAGATCAGGAGCGCCGTGGCCACAGCAAGCTCATGGGCTTCGACAGATGGATGGATGTACTTCCCCTTTCACGCTCCCTTGACTGGTTTCATCCCGGGACTGTGGTCATCTGTGACCATCCACAGTGATTTTCTGCATTTTATTGACCTCTGGGTGGCAGCTGCAACTTAGGACTTCTTGGACCACACTCGGGGAAAAAATGGAAAACTAGTGGTGAATCTCTTGTTGCTGTGAAAAGCTGGTGTAAATGTAGCGATTTTATTTTATCTATCTATCTATCTAATTTCCTCACCTGCGGATATTTTTCCGTTTATCATCAGATAGAATGGGAGGGAAGGAGAGAGAGAGACAGAAAGAAACATCGATGTGATAGAGCCACATCGACTGGTTCCCTCCTGCATGACCCAACCAGGGCCAGAGACGAACTGCAACCGAGGTACATGCCTTTGACCAGACTCAAACCCGAGACTCACTGGTCCTCGGGCCAATGCTCCAACCACTGAGCCAAACCAGCCAGGGCAAGTGTAGTCATTCCAGAGGAACCGTCTTGCATGTCTTACTCCTTGAAACTTTGGAATTTTGGATGGGGCCAAACCAACATTGTCTTAGAAATAATCGTTTGTAAGGCTAACAGGAAAGCAGATCTCTTGACCACAAATGAAGAATGATGATTTTGGATATTCTTTAGAACCAGTAACCAGCCATTTATAGCTGAAGAGTAACTTAGCATGTTAGCACCAACGGAAATTCCTTACTTCTATTCAAGTAATTCTTTCCCTTCCCTTTCATGTGAAAACCCTCACCTCCTCATTGGGACGTAATTTGGGTTTCTGCCTGAATCTATGCCCCAGATTGCAATTCTTTTGTGATCTCAAATAAACGCTTGTTGTCTCTCAAAAAAAAAAAAGCGTTACATCTAAGAACAGGTACAAGACAGGGATGTTCGTGTTCTTTCACCACTCTTATTCAATACAGTACTGGAAGTACTAGCCAAAGCGATCAGACAACAAGAAAAAATAAAAGTCATCCAAATTGGAAAGGAGGAAGTAAAATTGTCATTATTCACAGGTGACGTGGTATTATACAAAGAAAACCCTAAAGGCTCCACCAAAAAACTACTAGATTTAATACACAAATTCGGCAAAGTAGAAGGATACAAAATTAACATCCAGAAATCAAGGGCATTTTTATATACCAATAATGAACTCTCAGAAACAGAAACTAAAAAAAAAAATTCCATTTCCTATTGCAACAAAAAAATTAAGATACTTAGAAATAAATTTAATCAAGGAAGTAAAAGACTTGTACTCAAAAAACTACAGGACGTTGAAAAAAGAGAAAGATACAAACAAGTGGAAGCATATATCATGTTCATGAATTAGAATTAACATCATTAAAATGTCCACACTACCCAAAGCAATCTATAGATTCAAAGTAATCCCTATTAAAATACCAACAGTAGCCCTGGCCAGTTTGGCTCAGCAGTTAGAGCATTGGCCTGCGGTCCAGAGAGACCCAGGTTTGGTTCCCACTAAGGGCATGTACTTCGGTTGCAGTTTGTCCCAGGCCCTGGTTAAGTCATGCAGGTGGCAGCCACTCGATGTGTCCCTTTCATGTCAATGTTTCCCTCTCTCTCTCCCTCTCTCCCGCTCTATCTGAATAAAAAAATGGAAAAGTGTCCTCAGGTGAGGATTAAAAATAATTAAGTAAATAAATAATAAAATACCAACAGCATATTTCACAGATCTAAAACAAATACTCCAAAAAGTTATATGGATCCCAAAAGACCCTGAATAGCTGCAGCAATCTTGAGAAAGAAGAACAAAGTAAGAGGGATCACAATACCAGATATCGCATTATACTACAAAGTCACCATAAAATCAAAACAGCCTGGTACTGGCACAAGAACAGGCAGAGAGATCAATGGAACAAAACAGAAAACCCAGAAATTGACCCAAGACATTATGCTCAATTAATATTTGACAAAGGTGGCAAGAGCATACAATGGAGTAAAGACGGCCTCTTTGCCCTGGTCGGTTTGGCTCAGCAGTTAGAGCGTCCGCCTGCGGTCCAGAGAGACCCGGGTTCGGTTCCCGCTAAGGGCATGTACCTCGGTTGCAGTTTGTCCCCGGCCCTGGATGGTCGTGCGGGTGGCAGCCACTCGATGTGTCCCTTTCGCATCGATGTTTCTCTCTCTCTCTCTTCCTCTCTCTCCCTCCCACTCTATCTGTACAAAAAATGGAAAAATGTCCTCGGGTGAGGATTAAAAAAAAAGATGGCCTCTTTAATAAATGGTGTTGGGAAAATTAGACAGCTACATGCAAAAAAATGAAGCTAGACCACCAACACCATACACAAGAATATGGATAAAAGATTTAAATGGATAAAAGATTTAAATGTGATGTGTGAATCCATAAAAATCCTAGAAGAAAATACAGGCAACAAAATTTCAGACATCACACGCAGCAGAATGTTCACCAATAATACCTAAGGCAACAGAAACGAAGAAAAAAATAAACAAATGGGACTACATCAAACTAAAAAGCTTCTGCACAGCAAAAGAAACCAGCATCAAAATGAAAAGGGACTCCCCACTGTATGGAAAAGCATATTTGCCAAAGATACTTCTGAATAGGGATTAATTTCCAAACTATATAAAGTACTCATACAACTCAACAAACGGAAGAAAAACAATCCAAATGGATCCCACTTGCAGGAATACATCCTAAGAATCCCAAAACACCAACCAGACAGAATATATGTCTTTAAGCCTATTAAAATAAATTATAGTGTAAAAAACAAGAAAAGAAAAAAAAAGAAAAAGAAATTATACTGAACCAAAAACCTAAACAGGTATATCTAATACATTACACATTAGGTATCGGCATGATATGACTGATCTTATTCTGTGATAGCCAATGAATCATAAAGTGAGTTCTAGCCCATGTAATTCCCAATTGTAAAAATGCTACTAATTATAAGAAACCCTAAAATAGCACTGTGGCAATAAACTTGCAGCAAAGAACACTAAGCCAAATGGCAAAACAAACGGTGAACTAAAAACTTGTCTACCACAGTCCTGGAGAAATTTAGGTATGACAATTTTATTAGTCATTCTATTTTATAAATTCTCACCTCTTTTGGAGTTTTATGAGCCGCACAAAGAAAAATCCATTGTTCAGTTGCTGTCATCTGAGTACATGTATCTGGATGGCATTCACTCTGTTAAAAAGTTACATTTCTTAATATGTAAAATAATAATTAAAAAGTTTATCATTTGAGCCCTGGCCAGTTTGGCTCAGTGGTTGGAGCGTCGGCCTGCGGACCAGAGAGTCCTGGGTTCGGTTCCCGCTAGGGGCACATACCAAAAAAAAAAAAAGGTATCATTTGAGTTACTATATTTCCAGGTAAAATTCTAAAATAATTTAATTTAGATAAGTCTTTGTAAGTACATTAAGTTACAAAAACGGGGGGAAAAAAAATCAAAACTTTACATTATAACTTTAACTTGAAAATATTACCTGAAGTTTGACAGCAAGTCCATTGAGCTCAAGACAGAATTGCCTAAAAATTCAAATATATAAATGAAAAGTCTTATCTACTTTCCACATTATATTTAGAACATTAATTTTAAAAAGAGAACCCCACCAGTACTGTCCATCCTCCCTCATTACCATTATCAACACCATCTGAATTTACATGGCACATTTCCTACAAAGACATACAAATTAATAAAGAAAACTCAAAACTAATGGCCTTAAAAATATTCACTATCAACCCTGGCTGGTTTAGCTCGGCAGTTAAGAGAGTGGGCCCGCGACCAAAGAGTCACAGGTTCGATTCCAGTCAAGGGCACGTACCTCAGTTGCAGTTTGTCCCCAGCCCTGGTAAGGGTTGTGTGGGAAGCAACCAGTTGATGTGTCCCTCTCACATCAATGTTTCTCTCTCTCTCCCTCCCTCCCACTCTATCTGAAGATAAACAGAAAAATATCCTCGGGTGAGGATTAAAAAAAAAAAATTCAGTATATAGTTCAGTGAGTTGATCACTCAACACTGGAAATTGGTACAATTATTCTGAGAAATATTTTAGAAATATTTACCAAGACACTTAGGAAATGTACATTTTTTGACTAAGTCATTCTAAGAAACAATTCTTTTTTTTTCTTTATTGATTTTAGAGAGAGAAGAAGGGAGAGGGAGAGAGATAGAAACATCAATGAGAGAGAATATCGATTGGCTGCCCCTCCGCTCCCCCCGCGGGGATCGGATCCACAATCTGGGCATGTGTCCTGACTGGGAATCAAACTGGCGACCTCTTGGTGCATAGGTCAACACTCAACCACTGAGCCATACCGGTCGGACTGAGATAATTTTTTTTAAACAGACATGTTACTTGCTATGAAAAGGCAATTTCTACTTTATGACACACAGAAAACTTATTTTATAACTGTCGAAATACGGAATATGTTCCCTCTAAAATCCGATCAAATTAGTTAATCACGATTATGTTTTCCATCAAACAAATGAGAACACTTTAGTTTTTAAAAATGCAAAGCTAGCCCTGGCCAGTGTGGCTACCTTGGTTGCGCACTTCTTGTGCACAAGAGGTCGAAATCAAAGGTTCAATTCCCAGTCAGGGCACATGCTCAGGTTGCAGACTGATCCCGGTGGTGGGGGACATGCAGGAGGCAGGCAGCCGATAAATGTTACGCTTTCACATCAATGTTTCTCTCTCTCTCCCTCTCCCTTCCTCTCTCTCTAAAAATCAATAAATTTTTTTTTTTCAGTACGTGCCCCTAGCAGGAACCAAACCCGGGACTCTCTGGTCCGCAGGCCAATGCTCAACCACTGAGCCAAACCGGCCAGGGCAAAAAAAAAAATTTTAAATAAAATCCAAAGCTAAGGCCCCGGCTGGGTAGTTAAGTTGGTTAGAGCATCGTCCTGATATGCCATGGTTGCAGTTCAATCCCCAGTCAGGGCACGTACAAGGAGCAACCAATGAATCCCTCCCTCCCTCCCTCCCTCCCTCCCTCCCTCCCTCTCCCTCTCTCTCTTTCTTTCTTTCTCTCCCCTTCCGCTCTAAAATAAATTTTTTAAAACTGCAAAGCTAAAATCTACATAATTGATAGTTAAAAGAATCCCAAACAGAAAAAAAACTGCACATATGTAAAAGAGAAACTGTATTTATTTACTTATTTAAGGTACATAATAACAGAAGAAACCTAAAAGACAAGGGTTGCCCTGACTGGTTTGGCTCAGCCGTCAGAGCATCAGCCCACGGACCAAAGGGTTCAATTCCTGGTCAAGGACACATACCTGGGTTGCGTTCAATCCCAGGTCCCCATTGGGGTCATGCAGGAGACAACAATCAATGTGTCTCTTTCACATCGACTTCTCTCTCTCCTTCCCTCCCTCCCACTATATCTAAAAAAAAAAAAAAAAAATCAATGAAAAAATATCCTCGGGTGAGGATTAAAAAAAAAAAGACAAGGGTTAAACTTTCAGTTGTCTATAATTTTATTTCCTTTCTAGATGCCTAATAATAATGCTGTTCTTAGATTACAAAAATAACATTATTTCTGAATCACCACATCACCCTCTACTGGACCTTATATGTAGGCTGCATGTTAAGTGTTTTTTGAGTTGTTTTCCACTAAGTGGTAATGAAAACGAATAGTAATAAACAAGTTTCATCTAATTCAACCCACTTATGGCCTATAGCAAAATTAAGCTAATTGATTTGGCTATGTCTATGGGCACCATCTGTGGTAAATAGTCCAGACCTAACAACTTCAAGTTAATTCAATACAGGGCTAACATGTAAAGTTGTATGGCTAAAACAAAAGCCAAAGCTGAATTCCAGTTATTATGTGACTCTAGTCACTAAACCATGCATCCTGGCATAAGATTGCATTCACTCAAATGAAGGGGCATCTTTCCCTAATTACACAGATTCCGTATGGGCTACTGGAAGATTTAACTGAATCCTGCATGACCCAATTCCCATTAACAGCATAATATAATCAAATGCATTAACCAGTAACACCATATTAAGCCTCAAATAAATAACATCAAGTACATGCCCTTAGTCAACTATAAAGATCTATACAGTATGATGAAGAAACAAACAAAAAAATACATGTGATGTATAATGCATAAATACAAAACCTAAAAAAGTGGCTAATATTCAGGAAAAAATAACAATAGTAAAAATAATACTGCTGAGACAAATAAAATATGCATGAGAAAAATGTTGTAAGTTTTGTATAATACATATTTCATATCTAAGTTAAACAGGAAGGAAAAGGTTTTCTTAGATCTAAAATTTAAATCTTGTAAACTAAAATCAGCCCTTACTTGTCAGGTATCATGTTACCAAAAAAATTCTCACTTATTTTCATCATTAATCCTACTAGACAGTTATTTTCTTTTTTTTTTTTTAATCCTCACCCGAGGACATTTTTCCATTTTTCACTCAGATAGAGCGGGAAGGAGAGAGAGGAAGAGAGAGAAACATCAATGTGAAAGGGACACATCGAGTGGCCGCCACCCACACGACCCAACCAGGGCCGGGGACAAACTGCAGCCAAGGTACATGCCCTTAGCGGGAACCGAACCCGGGTCTCTGTGGACCGCAGGCTGACGCTCTAACCGCTGAGCCAAACCGGCCAGGGCTAGACAGTTATTTTCAAAGCTGATTAAAATAAGGCAGAGGATATATAATGTGTTCTCTATCTTGATTTATAAGAATGGGGAAATATCTACACATTCATACATTCAATTATGCATTGAGATGTATTTCTTTTCTTCTTCTTCTTCTTTTTTTTTTTTCGGTACATGCCCCTAGTGGGAACCAAACCCAGGACTCTCTGGTCCGCTCCAACCACTAAGCCAAACCAGCCAGTGCGACATATATTTCTTAAAAATTAGATCAAATAGTCAAGTGATTTGTCCAAGAAATTGGCAAAGTACAAAGAAGACTTAGCATCTTGAAACTGCTGAACTGTTATCACAAAACATTATGTCTTTGTATAATCTAGAAAACATGCCAGGAACATTTAAAAAAAAAAAAAAAAGTACCTTATCTACAAGTTGAGGCACTTATCAGAGGAAATGTGGTCTAATTTATTGGTGAAAAGTCATATTTCTACTATATTTATTATTTTAAAATCAACTAAAAAGTAACAAACCCTGATGAACATATATCCATTCTCCATATTCAACTCATCCTAGCTACCATTTATACTAGAAAGTTTATAACTTCAAGAAACGACCTAGTAACTTCAGGATACAGCTGCTTCTAAAGGTAACTGTAGTCATTAGTCATTTACTCATCATCAATTTTCGCATTCAAATGATATTATGAAAAGCTCCAAAACTCCTTAGACTTCAGGACTACAAGTAATCTCTATTTATCAAAAGGGAGGGACTGGAAGTTCACAGTAGTTAATAGGTAACTCTTCAGAGACTAAGCCTATATGAGAAATTTGACATGATCCTCTACCAAGAAATAGTTATTCATGAGTAAGTAAATGTAAATAAATGCACTTGTGGTTAAAAGATATGATTAAGAAAAACTGTGTAAAAGCATAAGGCCCAAATCCATAAATGTATAAAACAATCAGTAAATAAAGTTGAAAACTTTATAACACAAAATACAAAAGCTTTAGAATTTGCTTTTTGCTTTTTGATCTGTAGTTACATAAGAATTTTATTTATAATTCATAATAATTAATATTAAAGATTATTTTTACTAATAAGTACTATTTCTATTTTGATATATCATTAAGGACCTACCTTAAATGTTCATACTTCCATACACCTTCATCTTGGCCTTCAGGTGGTTCAAGAATTTTGTCAATATTGGAACAATCTGCTCTTATGTTCTGTTGAATATACTATAAACAAAGAAGTTTTTCCAGTTAATTAAAATATTATTCTACATGGTAAATCTTATGTTAAATATATATAATTTTTGAATATATAACTGCCCTTGTGGTTCAACTTTGGGGCTATAAACAAAATAGGAAACCAAGTACAGAATCATAATCAGTACAGCATTCACTCACTTCCCAGGCCTTTCATGTCTCCTCTGCAAGAATATACTACATCAGTATTAAAACTAAGTAAAAAAGAAGGTATGAAATCTTTCTTCCTTTTCTTATGAAAAAGGCAAAAATATATCTTCCTAGTGATTTACTCTTGTAGGCTATTATTATCTATATCTTTTAGGTCAGAGTACTTAATCTGGCTCCTCAAAACTCATGTTTCAAAGTCACCTTGGAAAGAGAAGTTAAAGATCATCTGCTGACTGTATTGCTGGAGAACTATAGTCACCTTTATACCTTCCAGAGGTAAAACAAAAACTGTTCTCACTATAAAAATAAAACACTCATTGTGTGGAAGACCACTAGAAACTGTTAACAGTGGTTGCCTCTGGGGTGCTGGGCATCTGGGCTTACTATTCATGATATGCTCTTATATTAACCTTTTACATGTTCACTTGTTGCTTTTTTATAGAAATGGAAAAGCTGATTCTCAAATATGTATGGAACTCCGAGAGACATTAAATAGCCAAAATAATCTTGTAAAGAAAACACAAAATTGAAGGACTCACACTTCCTAATTTCAAAATTTACTGTAAAGCTACAGTAATCAAAACAAGGTAGTTCTGGTGTAAGGATAGACATGTAGACCAATGGAATTGAATAGAATACCTAGAAATAAATCCTCACATACATATAGTCAAATGATTTTGACAAGAGTGCCAAAACCATTCAATGGGAAAGAACAATCACTTTAACCATTTTTTAAGTGTACAGTTCAGTGGCATTAATTATATTCACAATGTTGTGCAACCAAATAAAATCCCTGGACCTGACGGCTTCACTAGTGAATTTTACCAAACATTTCAAGAACACCAATCCTCCAATTCTTCCAAAAAACTGAAGAGGAGGGCATCCTTTCTAACTTGTTCTATGATACCAGCATTGCCTGATACTACAGCCAGTCAGAGACACTCTAAGAAAACTAGAAACCACTTATCCCTTATGATCACTGATGCAAAACTCCTAGCAAACTGAATTGTGCAGTGTATTAAAAGGATTATATACCATGAGCAAGTGGAATTTATACCTAGAATGCAAGGATGGTTCAACATTAAAAGAACTGATCATTATAATACACATTAACAATATGAAGGGGGAAAAATACATGATCATCTCAATTGGTGCAGAAAAACCATTTGACAAAATTCAACACTTTTTAAAAAATTTATTGATTTTAGAGAGAGGGAAAGGAAGAGGGGAGGGAGGGGAAAGGAAGAGAGAGGAAGAGGGAGAGAAGGGGAGTGGGGGCCGAGAGAGAGAGGGAGAGAGAAAGAGAAATAACGATTTGTTGTTCCACTGGTTGCTTCTTGTATGTGCCCTGAATAAGGGATCAAACCCCCAACCTTGGCATATAACACTCTAACCAACTGAGCTATCCAGCCAGGGCTAAAATTCAACACCTTTTTATTTAATAAATCCAACAAATCAAAAATAAAAGGAAACTACCTCAAATAATAAAGACCAAATGTGAAAAACCCAGTGAACATCATACTCAATGAAAAAGACTGAAAGCTCTCCTCTATAATCAAGAACGAGATAAGGATGACTGCTTTTGCCACTTCCATTCAAAGTAGTATTGGAAGTCTAGAGAGCAAGTAGTCAAGAAAAAGAAATAGAAGGCATCCAGATTGGAAAGGAAGAAATAATATTGTTTGCAGATGGCATGATCTCATATATAGAAAACTGTAAGGATTCCATAAAAATATCGTTAGAAAAAAATTCAACAAAGTAGCAGGATACAACCTCTACTTTTAAAATATGTTTTTATTGAGATGGGTTTTTTTAGAGAGAGAGAGAGGAAGGGGAAGAGACAGAAACATCCATATGAGAGAGAAACATCGATCAACTACCTCCTGCACGCCCCCTACTGGAGATTGAGCCCACAACCTGGGCATGTGCCCTGACCAGGAATCAAACCAGGACGTCTCAGTCCATGGGATGACACTCAATCCACTGAGCCACACCAGCTGGGCACAACCTCTACTTTTAAAGGTAGAAATATCTGCACATTTTTCCTCTTAATTTTTGCCAATTTCCAGGCATAGGATCTAAGTTTATATTTCTGCAAACCCAATAAATACTTGCTGATTGAACAATACATTTTTAAAAGGCAATGCACAAAACCATTCATTCATGCATGCTCTTCCATTTCCTATACTAAATATCTGATACACTAAACCTATTTTAAAGGTTTTTATTAGGATTATGAATTGTTTTTAATGCTCAAAGAACCCAACTCTATTTCTATTTTATTTCCTAAGATCTTCAAATAACGATAAATCCAAATAGCTACCTACTTTTATTTTCTGGCCATCAAGACAAAGCCAAATAGCCTATCATTACTGCACATTCTCTCTTTAAAAATGTTAGTTAACCAATGCCTAGTTCAATATACTAGTACACCCAATTTCAGGCATCCTAAATGCAATTTTTAGTAATTAGCTATGGAAATTATTTTCCCCCCACATTCCAGATTGTATTCATTTTGAAAGAATGACCACGTTTTTCTAAAAAAAAAAAAACAACCCAACTTGTACACAATGTGATTCTCAATAGGAATATTTAAGAATATCCTGTCCAGCCCTGTCAGTGGCTACAGCATCGGCCAGCAGACCAGAGAGTCCCGGGTTCAGTTCCCGCTAAGGGCATGTACCTTGGTTGCAGTCTGTCCCCAGCCCCTGTTGGGGTCATGTGAGTGGCAACCACTTTATGTGTCTCTCACATCAATGTTTCTCTCTCTCTCTCTCTTCCTCCCTCTTTCCCTCCCACTCTATCTGAAGATAAATGCAAAAGTGTCCTCAAAAGTGTCCTCAGGTGATTAAAAAAAAAAAAAAGAATATCCTGCCCTAGAGGGTATGGCTTAGGTAGGTGGAGTGTCCTCCTGTACCTCAAAAAGGTGGCAGGTTCCATTCCTGGTCAGGGCACATACCCAGGTTACAGGTTCAATCCCCAGTCAGGGCACATGTGGGAAACAGCCAATAGATGTTTCTCTCTCTCCCCCACCCTCTTCTCTCTAAAGTTAAAAAAAAAAAGAATATCCCGAGGGGCTTTTCAAAGCAAACATGCTACAGAAGCCCACCCTCTTGATAATCACTGCCTTTACAAGTAACTTGACAGCCTAAGGAGAGGCACCTTGGTTCTAACATGTATTGGATGGGGACAAAAGTAAAGAACTGATGGGGCCCTGGCCGGTTTGGCTCAGCGGTTAGAGCCTGCAGTCTGGAGAGACCTGGGTTCAGTTCCCACTAGCACGTACCTCGGATGCAGTTTGTCCCTGGCCCTGGTTGGGTCATGTTGGTGGCAGCCACTTGATGTGTCCTTTTCACATCGATGTTTCTCTCTCTTTCTCTCCCTACCACTCTATCTGAACAGAATATTGAAAAATGTCCTCAGGTGAGGATTAAAAAAAAACAAAACTGATGGGAACTAAAATTAAAATGTAAAGTTTAGGCCCTGGCCAGGCTGCTCAGTTGGCTGAAGCATCCTTCCGTACAACAAAAGGTTATAGGTTCAATTCCAGGTCAAGACCTATATTCCTGGTCAAGGCATGTACAGTAGGCAACCAATTGATGTTTATTTCTCTCTTTCTCTCTCTCTCCCCACCCCACCCCCACCACCTCTCTTTCAAAAGTCAATAAACATATCCTCAGGCAAGGATTTTTTTTAAAAATGGATAAAAGTAAAGCTTAGTTACATGTTCTCAAGTGTTCAGTCACCAAATCAATATGCTATTTCTATTTAACTGTTATTCTAATTTAGTATTCAATTAAACTTGAATTAAATTCACTGTAAAATCAAATTTGGTACACTAAAATGGTATAGATTAACATATTTTTAAGATATTAAAATATATTTAAGTTTCATTATAGTTCATTATGCCATCTTAAAACAAAATGAAAGTTGATAAAAGTTTTAAATTGCCATTCCATTAATTCCATGGATTCTGGTTTGTACTAAAAGATATAGAAATACTTAACTAGCCAAGGGAGGTCAAATGCTTAGTTTATAGGAGTTGCAAAAGAAACTATTGTTATTACCTGCTGAACAGCTAGTGTACTGTCCATTTCATCAAAGGATTCATCAGGCCAATTATAGAAATCCTATAAAAAAAATTCATGGTTAAAGCACATGATGTAATGCCATTATGATTAACTTCAATTCTTAATAAAAATCCAAAGTTACACTGGAGAGGAAAAGCCCTTATACTGTAAACATTATGATTATCACTAAATAAGCTAAAGGAATTTTATGCAACGTTTTTATTTTTTTATCCTCACCCAAGGACATTTTTGTATTTTTCTTCAGATAGAGCGGGAAGGAGAGAGGGAGGAAGAGAGACAGAAAAACATTGATGTGAGCCCTGGCTGGTTTTGCTCAGTGGTTAGAACATCAGCCTGTGGTCCAGAGAGACCTGGGTTCGGTTCCTGCTAAGGGCACGTACCTCAGTAGTAATTTGTCCCTGGCTCTGGTTGGATTGTGTGGGTGGACTCGTTGTGTCCCTTTCACGTCAATGCCTCTCTCTCTCTCTCCCTCCTAGTCTATCTAAACAAAAAATGGAAAAATGTCCTCGGGTAAAGATAAAAAAAACACTGATGTGAGAGAGACACATCAAGTGATTGCCACCCACACGACCCCAACTGGGGCCAGGGACAAACCGCAACTGAGGAACATACCCTTAGCAGGAACCGAACCTGGGACTCTGGTCCGCGGGCCAATGCTCTAACCGCTGAGCCAAACTGGCCAGGGCTTCAATGTTTTTATTTTATTTTTTAAATTGTTTTTCCTTTATTGATTTTAGAGAGCGAGGAAGGAAGAGGGGGAGAGAGATAGAAACATCGATGAGAAAGAACATCGATTGGCTGCCTCCTGCATGCCCCTCACCGGGGATTGGGCCCACAACCTGGGCATGTGCCCTGACCGGGAATCAAATTGGCAAACTCTTGGTGCATGGGTCGAAGCTCAACCACTGAGCCACACCAGCCAGGCAGGGCTTCAATGTTTTTAAATGAACACCAAGATTTTATTTAATTGAACTACAAGTTACATTTTTCTCAACCACAAATCCCTCAATATGGTTCCCATAAACCTTCCACATATCACTTGAGGAGATTAAGTCTATCACATTTTCGTTTATGGTGGTTAAATATCTTCTCAGTTACACTTAAGCCCTGGCTGGTGTGGCTCCAAGGTTAGAGCATTGGTACCCAAAGGACTGGGTTCAATTCCCAGTCAAGGGCACATACCTGGGTTGCAGGTTCGATCCCTGACCCTGGTCAGGGTCATGCGGGAGGAACGATGTGTCTCTCTCACATCCATGTTTCTCTCCCTCCCACCCCACCCTACTTTCTCTAAAAATCAATGAAAAAATATCCTTGGGTGAGGATTAACAACAGAAAAAGTTACACTTAAAAATCTCCAGGTGCCGCCCTGGCCGGTTTGGCTCAGCGGTTAGAGCGTCGGCCTGCGGTCCTGAGAGACCCGGGTTCGGTTCCCGCTAAGGGCATGTACCTCGGTTGCAGTTTGTCCCCGGTCCTGGTTGGGTCGTGTGGGTGGCAGCCGCTCGACGTGTCCCTTTCACGTCGATGTTTCCCTCTCTCTCTCTTCCTCTCTCCCCCTCCCACACTCTATCTGAACAAAAAATAGAAAAAATGTCCTCGGGTGAGGATAAAAAAATAAAATAAAATAAAATAAAATAAATCTCCAGGTGCCATAAAACCGAATCAGTTTTTACCTAGAGAATAGGTAGTGTTAGTAGTACAAGTAGTAGTAGTTACTGTTCCATAAGTGTTATTTTAGACAGACATTATAAAATTATTCCAATTCCAAATGGTGTCTTAAATTTAAAAATCAAATATGAGCAAACATGCTACAGAAACCCACCAAATAGAACAGCCTTCTTATAAGAGGGATAGTTTTGTGGATCATCTTGCATTGGTTCTGAATTCCTCTATAGATAATCTAGTTCAAAGACATTCCCCAAAGTGATTAAGAACCTTTCCATTTGACTGATTATTCAGCAAAGTTTACCTATGTATCCTTTGTAGGTAGCACAATGCCTGACACATAGTAGGTGCTCAATAAATGTCTCTGAGGTAAAAATGGGGGAGAAAGTAGTTGTAAATGAATGATCTATAACCCTGTATCAATCATCATGGATACTTAAGTCTCCAAACACATTGAGTAAAAATTGAAGCAAATTGAAGAATACAGTGTATGATACGATATGAAAAAAGGTTTAAGAAAGTTCAAAGCACGCTTATGGATATAATACATATATCGTAAAAGTATAAAGAAAAGAAATTACCCCCATTATTGTTTGAGAGGAGTGAGTAGAAGACAGAAGAATGTAATACAGAGAGAGTCAACTATGTTAGTAATGTTTTAGTTCTGAGGGTAGGTGATGGGTATACTTTCTTAAGTGTCTTAAACTGCTCATTTTTAATTAATTATTTTATTAAACTGCTCATTTTTAAAGTTTCCCTATATAAATGAAAATGAATTAACTTTATTTTAAAACGTCAAAAAATTTTAGAATACCTTCTGAAAATTATTCCAGGATGTCTTTTCCTAGACATCATCTAAATATTATTAAAGAGTAATTTTAAATTTTTTCCTATATGATTTATACTTTAAAAATAATTTTTTTTTTCTTTATTGATTTTAGAGAGAGAAGAAGGGAAAGGGAGAAATGGAAACATCGATGAGAGAGAACATTGACTGGCCACCTCCTGCATGCCTCCCACTGGGAATCTGGCCCACAATGTGGGCACGTGCCCTGACCAGGAATCAAATTTGCAACCTCTTGGTACATGGGTTAATGCTCAACCAGTGAGCCACACCAGCAGGGCATGATTTATACTTTAAAAATGTTTCTATCACCCTGGCTGGTTTGCTCAGTGGTTAGAGCAGCAGCCCGCAGACCAGAGAGACCCAGGTTCAGTTCCCACTAAGGGCATGTACCTCGGTTGCAGTTTGTCCCCAGCCCCGGTTGAGGTTGTGTGGGTGGCAGCCACTCCATGTGTCTCTCACATCAATGTTGCTCTCTCTCTCTTTCCCCCTCTCTTCCTCCTGCTCTATCTGAAGATAAATGTGAAAATGTCCTTAGGTGAGGATAAAAAGAAAATTTTTTTTTTAAATGTGTCTATCAATACACTTTGCATATACTTACCTTTAAATTTTTTAGTTTGTAGAATATTTGTTATTAAAATATTAGAAAACACATATAGGAATGTACAGAGAAGACGTAAAAAAAAGTTAACTGGGAATTAAATGTTCTGCCTCATCATTCCTGTGATATACTTGAAATACTTAAAGGAAAAACCAAAAATCCAGTTTAATGAATGTTCTCATCTAATTTCAGTCAATAAACATTTACTGAAAACCAACTATGAGCCAATATCCCAATCTAACCAATCTCAAAAAAGAAAATTTAAAAAGGTAGGAAGATACTCCACCTACTCTATTACAGTTCTAAATAAGTCATCTTAGAATAGACTCATTTCACTGAAGGAAATTAGTGTGACAGACAAGAGATAGGACAGAATGCCTGCTTAAGCAGTCTTTTTTTTTTTTTAATACCCTAATCTTTTCTGTCACATTTTATTTAACAACTTGATCTATGACAATGTGGAAAAAAGCAAAGGAGCTCACATATAAGAAAGCTCCTTATACAACTCATATAACATAGACAGATGTGTTACAATATTAACTTAAAATATATTTTCTTTCACTTCAAACTTCAGAACTTATGAGTAAATAAAAATGGATGACAATGATCAGAATGTGAATACAAAAGTCCACTTCTGAATATAAAAACATAAAAGTGGATCACTTAATAAAAGAAAAAAAAATGTCTCCACAGATTAAGAAGTAAAGGTATCTAAAGAGAGTATTTATACATTAAGTCTAGAAAAGGTAAAAAGAAAGCTTAAGTTAAAAATTCCCAGTAGTATGACCATGAAAACTGCCAACTGACAGCTTAATGTGACTCTAGGGCTTTCAAACTAAATTCTCTAAAATTCAGCACTAGAAGCAACTCCTTAAAGAGAAAACATCACCAGTGAACTAAGAAGGAAAACTGTGTAAGCTGGAGCAAATGCAGCCAGTCTCTGGGCCTCGGTTCTTGCCCTAACGTGGAGCTGGGAAGGAGTCGGAGCTCAAGGACCCTTTGAAAGGGCTCCTTCCCAGAACTCTGAGCATACCGTCACAGCTCCAAGTGGCTTTCTGTGGCTTTCACTTACATCACTTTTTCTTTAAAATTGCATTTTAACACATCTCTTCTAATTTTAGAGCATCTACTCAACGGCAATCCATTTCAGCTGGCAGATTAGTCAGATCACATCGACATGCCTCCTGTGATCTTTCCAAAGACCAGGAGGCATCCCTCTTTTGCAAACCCCAAGAACCAATACCTCCATAAGCACCAACTCACCCAAAGACTGGCCTACCGAAAGCTAGTAAAATCATAACCAGTGCATTCCCTAACTGTGCTTCACACACAACAACAAGGATATTCACAAGGAATGATCTCTAACAAGTCGCAACCTGATGATGAAAACTTGCTGGAGCAGAGAACAGCTGCAGCGAGAAGTGGCCAAAGGCAAACGGCAAGAGGCGGAGAATATTGTCAATTTTCGCCGCCGGGAGCCGGCTAGACTGGCTGGATGGGAGAGGCGGCCAGATACGTCACAAGCCAGGTAGATGCCAGGCCGAGGTAGGCTGTTTAGACGCCCTCTCACCCAGGCAGCCCGACCCTCGCGCAACCCCCGGGGTCTCCACGGGCCGCCTGCGCCCCTCCGACGCAGGTCAACGGGGGTTCAGAGAAGGCAGAACAAGCAGAACCGGCTGACAGGTTCCCAGCCCCCGGCCTCGACGATCACCGCCCGTGACCCCACTCGCCCCTCACGCCCACCCTCCTAACGGGGCTCCGCAGGCCTCACGGGCCGCTGCCGCCACCGCCTCAGCCAGACTGAGGGGCTGCGGCTCCGGAAGAGCAGGCCGGGCACCAGTGCCCCCGCCCGCCAGCCGCCACCCCGGCCCACCCTCCTCTCAGGGGCGGCCAACTTCCAGGTGTGGCGTGCTCGGCTCCGAGAGGCCCCCCGCAGAAAAGGTGCGAAGAGGGTACCTGCGCCTTGGTGCCCGGCCTGTTCCGCCTCAGCACTGCCGTCCCCTCCGCCATGACCATAGTGCCAGAGTCTGGGCGGCTGGAGTCGGTACCCGGATGTAGAGGACGGCTGCCTGCGCAGGGGGTGGGGCCGAGCGCCGCCCTTAGTCCGCGAGCTGGGGAGGGGCGGTGCCTGATGGGACAGCGGTAATCCGCGCGGGGCAGGGCGGGAGATGAGGAGGAGTCCCGGAAAGAGCCAGTTGACGGAGGGAGGGGGGTCAAGAAAAGGAGCAGCCGACGACTAAGTGGCGGCACAGTGGAGGAGAGAGAGACCCGAGGACCGGGACCAGTAATGGCAGGGGAAAGTCTGCGGCGACGGCGGAGGGCCGCTGCGGGACTGTTTCGGCTCCGCATATGTCTCCTTGGGTTTACGTTAGTTACATTGGAAGGGCTGAGCTAGTACAGTGGCGACCGTTTCGGTAAACCTTTGCACAAAAGCATACTTAGAAAAGCATAATTCTGTCCCGAAATCCACCTAGGCATTCAAAGGGGAAAACGGACCAACAGCCTGTGAAAATTTTAAAAATCCTGCAGGAAATCGACCCAATCTCAAATCAGACTGGGGTTTAGAGTGTCGAGTGATATTTCCACCATTTGGTGACTTCAAAGCCAAGGACTTTTTCAATGACAAGTTTGCGTAGATAAAAGACCCAGATGCCAATTATCCGAGATAGAGTGGACATCCGGTATTGTGCGTTACGAAATTAGCTCCTATATTTTGCAAGTGAGAAAGGAGAAGGAGAAAATGAATGCCCCTTGATAGTGGGAGTTGTACATCTTACAGAATTTCAAATTTCCTTTGTTGCAAGTTTGGTATTCTCTTTAGTCATGAAATCATGGCAGTTTTGGCAGACTTTTTTTTTATTTCCTGCTTAGAAAACTTAAATCTTTTATCTGGGGTGAGAGAGACCTTAGGATACCAGATGGGAAGACAGTTCAGCGGGTCAAGAGTGCCTATAAGTAGGGTGATTTCCAGGAGAAGAGAACAGATATCCTATCAAATACACCTACAGGTGTATTGAGAATGAATGCTAAGGAGAACTATGTCACAGACATCATCCAAAGATGTGAGGATTGGAGGAGAGGTTGGTTAAATTAAGTGGGTGCAAAACTGAATAACTGTCAGATACTAGGAACTTTGTTCAAGGCGGGTTGACAATAGGAAGTTGGTTTGCCTTAAGATTGCTTTTTTCTGGAAGATGTATAGACTGATAACTTTTTTTTTTTTTTTTTTAGGGAGAGGGAGAGGGAGAAACATTGATTGGCTGCCTCCTGCACGCCCCCTACTGAGGATGGAGCCCGCAACCCAGGCATATGCCCTGATCCGGAATCAAACCTGGACCTCCCAGTCCATGGGGCAACGCTCAGTGCACTGAGCAACACCACCGGGGTAGACTGATAACTTTTAAAGAGCAAAGATTTAATTCTTAATTTCATCACTATCTTCTAGATAAAAAAAGGTTTATTCATTCAACAAATATTTATTAAGCCCTACTGTGTGTTCAGCAGCACTGGAGTAGGAGAATGGAAAGGCCCAGATGATAACCATAAATTACTTAGTGTCTAGCTATAGAGATGTGCAAATCACCAATTCTCTTACTAAGTACAATGAGAATCTAAGACAAGTGGCACCCAAAATTTGCCTCCCTAAGAGAGACATGGGGTGGGTGTGGAGAGCAGAGTCCTAAATAGGTCTCTCAGTCTGGAGACAACCCCACCTCCAAGGATTAGGTTGAAATTTCCTATATAGTGTGCCCTTGAGCTGTAAATATCAGTTACCTATGTAGTTGAGGGGCTCACCTCAATATTTTAAGTCCAGATTTGTTATACTGTTTCAGTACATCTGAAAAGAACAAGAGAAAAAGGCAGTAAGTCGGTTTTAAATTCAGGAACGAAGTACACATTTATCTTTTTAAAAGTCCAATAAAGTTGCATTGTGATGTCAACTCTGACCTTGTTCAGAGGAAGAACCTTGTTCTTTAAGGTTGAAATGTTTCTAGCTCATAACCTTCACATTTTAATACTTCTGTCAGCCTGAAGATTATGACCTTTAAACAAAAATAATTTTATAACCAGGGTTAATTTGTAGGGAGGAGAAGAAAAGGAAAAAAAGAGCATGATCAGTTATAACAGTTACATGTAAAAATGTAAAAACTGGAATATTTTGGTTAAAGAAGGAATAGTCTTTTCAAAGGCAATATAGACAAATGAAAATAACTCTGGGCTGGGATTAGAACATTTAAATTCTTTTGCCTGTTGACTATAAGACTTTGAACAAGCTATCAAATAAATTTCCTTTTTTTATTTAAAAAACTTTTAAATTGATTTTAGAGAGAGGAAAGAGACAGGTAAACATAAATTTTTGTTCCACTTATTTATGCATCTATTGATTAATTCTTGTATCTGCCCTGACTGGGTATCAAACCTGCAACCTTGGCGTATAAGGATGATGCTCTAACCAACTGAGCTACCCTACCAGGGCTAAAAGTTTCTTTTTTTGTAAAGAAAATAATTTACAGCAGTTCTTTCCCTCTACTTCATAGAGTATGAAAGCAAATATAAAAGTAAATATTCCTGCCCTGGCCGGTTTGGCTCAGTGGTTAGAGCGTCGGCCTGCGGTCCAGAGAGACCAGGGTTCGGTTCCCACTAAGGGCATGTACCTCGCTTGCAGTTTGTCCCCAGCCCTGGTTGGGTCGTGTGGGTGACAACCACTTGATGTGTCCCTTTCACATCAATGTTTCTCTCTCTCTGTCTCTCCCTCCATCCCACACTATTTGAAGATAAATAGAAAAATATCCTTGGGTGAGGATTAAAAAATAATAATAATTTCCTAACTTTGTTCCTGTGCTTTCTCTATAAAAGAAAAGCCCTGGCCGGTTTGTCCCCAGCCCTGGTTGGGTCGTGTGGGTGACAACCACTTGATGTGTCCCTTTCACATCAATGTTTCTCTCTCTCTCTGTCTCTCCCTCCATCCCACACTATTTGAAGATAAATAGAAAAATATCCTTGGGTGAGGATTAAAAAATATTAATAATATTAATTTCCTAACTTTGTTCCTGTGCTTTCTCTATAAAAGAAAAGCCCTGGCCGGTTTGGCTCAGCTGTTGGAGCACTGGCCCACAAACCAGAGAGTCCCAGGTTCGGTTCCTGCTAAGGGCACATACTAGAATGCAGTTTGTCCCTGGCCCCTGTTGGGGTTGTGTGGGTGGCAACCACTTGATGTGTCTCTCTCACATCGATGTTTATTTGGATTTATAAAAAGTTAAAATTCAGACAACTCTGACTATAGATGACTAAAATATTGAACTTCCATGGCACTTCACTTCTCTCTAGAATTTTAGAATATTTGACCAAGTTGGTGATTGTAGTAGCCAGCCACCAAGATGGCCCTCCATGATTATTATCTTCTGGTATTTAAACCTTTGTATGCTTCTCTCTCACACTGACTGGGGCTGACCTGTATAACCAATAGGATTCTGTGAAAATGATCTGTGACTTCTGATGTTAGGTCATAAAAGACATGAGGCTTCTGCCTTGCTCTCTTAGCTCACCTGCCCTGGGTGAGAGAGCTACAATGTATGAGAACACTCAGGCAACCTTATGTGGTAATGCATGTTGAGGAGCTGAGGCTCCCGCCAAGAGAAAGCAACAATTTGTCAGCATATTAGTGAACTGTCTTGGAAATAAAACCTCTGGCCCTAGTTAAGCCTTCAGATGATGGCAGTCTCATGAGAGAACCCCAAATTAGGACCACCCAAATAAGGACCACCCAAATAAGCTGCTTTCAAATTTCCAACGTCAGATACTGTGAGATATTTACTGTTGTGCTGAGTCACTAAGTTTGGTGTGATTTGTTATGCAGCAATAGATAACTAATACAGTAGTTCCTCAACTTTCAAGAAGGGAAGATGTGATCAGAAAAGAACTCATAATAGACTGTTATCATTTCCTCTTTTTAATAGGGCACCTGATGTCTCTCATAAAGTTAGCAACATTTTCTACATTTTCTTTACACTAATGTCTACTAAAATTAGGCTATTAGTTTAGTTGTGTACTTCTGTCTCCTCCCATTTTATTCATCCCTGTATCTCCAGTGCCTAGAACAATGCCTGGCACATGTTAAAGAAATGAATGACTTAAAAGTGCTATAACAAACTGGCCTTTTTGAACTGATACTCAAGTCAGGTAAGTACCCATTGATAATTTTTCCAGGTCTATAGGCTAAAAGAGGCTGAAAGAGCATTTTGCAAGACTTGGGCTAAAAAACTAGACTTAATCTTACAACAGGAACATCTCCAAATAAAGTCAAGATTGAAATATGTGTGTGTGTGTGTGTGTGTGTGTGTGTGTGTATTTACTGTTAAAATACCTAAAGAAACCATGGAAGAAACTAAGTATATGCATATCTCATTTTATTGTGCTTTGCTTTATTGAGCTTCACAGATGTTGCTTTTTTTAATAAATTAAAGGCAAGACCCTCCACCAGCAAAAAAAGATTACAACTAGCTTTTTTAAAAAATATTTTTTTATTGATTTTTTTTTTAGATAGAAAGGGAGAGGGGTAGAGAGATAGAAACATCAATGAGAGAGAAACATCAAACATCGCTCAGCATGGGACTATGCTCAATCCACTGAGCCACACTAGCAAGGAACAACTAGCTTTATTGTAATACTTATTTTGTTGTGGTGGTCTGGAAACAACCCTCATTCCTCCGAGAATTGCCTGTATTGAAGAAGACTTTTCAGAGTTTAACATAATACCCAGAAGCCATATGGAAAACATTAATTCAACTACACCAAAATGATTTCCTGCAAGTTCAAAGCATAAATGAAACTAAAGCCAAAATGACAAACTGGATGAAAAAAATGTATCACAAGGAACCAATTACCCTAATAAAGATATCACACAAATCATAAAAGGCCAATCACCCAGTAGGAAAATGGGCAGAAGATATTAGAAGTCAATAGGAATGGTTAACAGTAAAGGAAATAGAAAAGGCTCTTAATCACATAAGATGCTCACCCTCATTCATAATGATAAAAGTAAAATCTGAGCCCTGGTTGGTT